GTGGTTCCCAAAGTGTGGTCTCCCGACCAGCAACATCAGTATCACCTGGGAACTGTTATTATCAGATGGTGCTTAAGAGCATGGGCTTCAGAGGCAGACCGGCCTGGGTTTGAATCTCAGCTCTAGCAATTGTGAGCTGTGTGACAGTGGGCAAGGTACATACTTTACTGAGCCTTAGTTTCCTCTTCTGTAAAATAGGGTAATAATATCTTACCCAGGAATGTCTGTCTGTCTATCTATCTGTTTGTCTGTCTATCTATCTATCCATCTATCTATTCCTCTCTCTCTCTCTCTGAAGCCTTTCTGGATTCAAATCCAGGTTGATTTATAAGATCAAAAAATCTAGCTTTAGCCACTATCCCCTATGGCTTATGTTTTTAACTGTTTCGCTAATTAGAATGTTTTGTTTTTACAGTTTTTACTGTTATGCTAAATAGAGTTTATTTGTATAGATTTTTTCCTCCATAAATTTTTCCCTAAAAAAATTGTGAAAGGAGAGAAATCTGTTGTGTACTATATAGCTGAAAAACTCATCTGTGGTAATCGTGTCTACATGGCCATTTTGCAGGTGGCAAGAACAGATTCTATCACCTGACCATTAAAAACAAGCCTTTGGTTATGCAATACCTACTTTCTTGGCCTATATGGAATTTGATACCTGTAAAAAGATTTTTCATGGAAAAAATGATCTGCTTTATTTCCTTTCTGGGGGTCCTAAGACTGAAAAGCTTCCATTACACAAATTGTGTCAGGTGGTGCATTTTGCTCGTATTAAAAATAAAGACAAACTGAGATTATACTGTTAAATTATGTGAATGGGCTACTTTTGAATGGTAAAGAAAATTCTAGATTATATTAAATTTTTTACTTAAGGATGAAAAAATGACTAGAATGAAAATAACACTGTCTCTAAATGTTTCCATTTAGTTTGGTATCTAGAATCATTTAGATGACACATTCCCATCTTTGGCAATTATTTTTTCCATTTGGTTTCTAGATCTGTGCTGTTCAATATAGTAGCCACTAGCTGCATGGGGCTATTTAAAATCAAATTAATTATAGGAATGAAATTTATTTATTTATTTTTTTAAATTTTTTGTTTTTGCAGTAACATTGGTTTATAAC